GACAGAGATCACAAGTAGGCAGAGAGGCAGGCAGAGAGAGGAGGAAGCAGGCTCCCTGCTGAGCAGAGAACCCAATGCCGGGCTCCATCCCAGGACCCTGGGATCATGACCTGAGCCGAAGGCAGAGGCTTTAACCCACTGAGCCACCCAGGTGCCCCAGTATTCAATGTTTCTAAAGCTAAATTGGAAGCTGGATTACTTTTTCTATATAAAACAGTATTTCCACAGTAATTAATGCTGCTGCTTTTGCAAGTTATAAATAGAAGAGACAGTTTAAAATGCCAGATACTAAAGATATAGTCTTTACCTATTCTTTCAGATATTCCTCTCATGGGATAAAATTAGTGGTAGGCCAAATTACATCACTTGGTTTCTTTTCAGTAGTTTCTTTTGCATGTTGTATAACTGTTTGCTAGTCTTAGCTAGCATTAACAGCACCCTGTAATTTAACCTTTCTGTAAAGTTTGATGTTCTAATACAAAGCAGATAGTTTGTTTTTATATTGTTTCAGTTTGGGATTAAATAAGACACTGCAGTTATCTAAAAAATCTGTTTTTGTCTGTTGGTTTTGTTTTCTCTATAGATGTTTAAGTACCCTTTTCCAGTCCGACTAGGAGCCAGCAGAATAGAAACATTTTCTCTCAAGACATGTCACCAACAGAACTTTTCCCCTTTGTTTCCAAGGCCTTGGTTTTTCTCTTCATTTCCAGTGTATATGAGGAAGACACAATACTATCATACTTCCCCATGCAGCTTTAAGAAGCAGAAGCAAGAAGTACTTCCAGCAAAGCCATCAAGCACCATCACTTACCTATTTGACAGCCCAAAGCCAGCATTATACATAACTCTGGGAGGACTAATCCCCTTTATTACTCCACCACTGGTCATGGTGATGACAAAGACTTATATTCCTGTGTTAGCTTTTACTCAGATGGCTTATGGAGCCAGTTTCCTAGCTTTCTTGGGAGGGATCAGATGGGGTTTTGCTCTACCAGAAGGTAGTACAGCGAAACCAGACTTCCTCAATTTAGCTAATAGTGCAGCTCCTCTTGTGTTTTCATGGTTTGCTTTCCTTATTTCTGAAAGACTCAGTGAAGCTATAGTCACAGTAATAATAGGTTTGGGGATAGCATTACACATTGAACTTTTTCTTTTGCCACATTATCCCAATTGGTTCAAAGCCCTTAAGATAGTAGTCACTTTAGTGGCCTTGTTTTCATTTATAATCACTTTACTAGTTGAAGATATTTATCCAGAGAAAGGACCCAAGAGACCTGGTCAAGTAGAATAAATACAAAACTACTTTGTAGATGACATGAGCATGTTGGCTATAAGCCTTAGAAGGCTGTGTTTTGGCATCATCTTTTTCTACTTATCCTGTTTAACAGCTTTTTCCTCCATCGGTGGTTATTTATTCTTCACAGATTTTTTTCATTTCTAGAAATCTTTATTTCATAGAAATTACTTGGCAACAGTTTGAAAATCCCTAACAAGTCATTTTCACTTTAGATTACAGTTCTTAGTCTTTATGAATTACACATTTTAATGTTTTGTTTTGAATGTAAAATAATAAAAACGGAAACCCGTTTTTTAGAGCCTTATGATCATTGAAAAAAGAGGCACAGTCTCCCACAAGAGGAAAACTTTGTATCCATTAGTGTCTGAGAATAATAGGTGGTTCCAGTGTGGAGTTTTCATTGCAGTTGCCCTGGGAATTGCATTTCCAACCCCATTTCGTCGGTATAATCTATTTATATGAGCTGAAAGGATCTGCGGCTGCTCTAAAGTCAGTAGGGAGCAGTGTCAGGGGAAGCCATGTTCAAAGAAAAGCTGAACATACTTTCCAGTTTTTATAGACACAACTTAACTCCGTATCCAAATAATACCAGCTAGTCAAAAAATTTTAAAAGAATAAAGTCACTAGTATATATAAATTAGGAAAAGTCAAGTTGGAGCCATCTTGATGTTCTTATAGCGGGGCTATCTAGTTTTACAAATTAACTCATAGAGAAGCTTTTTTAAACAAGCAAAAGCAACACCTTAGAATCTAACTTGGAAATTTGGTCTCTTAAAAAAATAAATAAATAAAAATAAAAAATTTTTTTAAATTTAAAAAAAAATTAAAAAGAAAATTTGTTCTCTTGAGATTCTTAGTCTTATAAAAATGGAAAAACATTGGGTGCCTGGGTGGCTGAGTCGTTAAGTGTCTGCCTTCGGCTCAGGTCATGATCCCAGGGTCCTGGGATCGAGCACCGCATCAGGCTCCCTGCTTTGGCAGGAAGCCTGCTTTGCCCTCTTCCACTCCCCCTGCTTGTGTTCCCATTCTCACTGTCTCTCTCTCTGTCAAATATAGTCTTTAATTAAAAAAGGGGGGGGGCGCCTGGGTGGCTCAGTGGGTTAAGGCCTATGCCTTCGGCTCGGGTCATGGTCCCAGGGTCCTGGGATGGAGCCCCGCATCGGGCTCTCTGCTCAGTGGGGAGCCTGCTTCCTCTCTCTCTGCCTACTTCTGATCTCTGTCAAATAAATAAAATCTTTAAAAAAAAAAAAAGGGGGAAAAACATTTTAAATGGCATTAAGGATACAAATCAGTAAACGTTATCACCTGGTATATGTTATCTTTATGTATAATACAGGTATGAAATAATCAGTTAACTTGACTTTCAAGTTGAATTGTGTGTTGAAGTCCTCGTCCCAGTATCTCAGAATGTGACCTTATTTAGAGACAGGTCTTTACAGAGGTTACAGTGCTAAAATGAGATCCTAAGGGTAGGCTGTAATGTAATATTACTGATATTCGTATAACAAGGGAAAACTCATAAGCATGCATACAAGGAAAATGCCACATGTACATGAAGGTAGCCATCTACATTCCAAGGAGAGAAGTCTGGAATAGATGCCATTTAGCACTCAAGGAACCAACTACCAACACCTTGATTTAGATTTCCAGCTTTCAAAACTATAAAACAATAAATTCCATTTAAACTTCTGTAGTACTTGGTTACAGGAGTCCTAGCAAACAAGTACACCACCACAGAGATAGACCTTGTTCTGAGCATTGAGAAGCTTACCAATGAAAGACCATAGCTGAAACCACCACACAATCCTTTATTAATCCAAAGAATAGTTTACTAGGACTTGGTTTTGAAGGAGGGAAAGCTGATTCTTTTCAGAAGATCTTTCCCAATTCCACTCAAGTGTTTTGGTAAGGAAACTTGTTTGCTTTTAAATTGCATGAGGACTATACAAAGTTAAAATTTTTATCTCAAATTCATCATCTTTCAGAATAGGGGCAAGTAACTTTTAAATTAATTGCTCAATTTCACTACACAAATGCAGGTAAATGCACTTTGCAAGTGAATTACAGTGTATGGTTGTTTTTTTTTTTAAGATTTTATTTATTCATTTGACAGAGATAAGTAGGCAGAGCAGCAGGCAGAGAGAGAGGGGGAAGCAGGCTCCGTGCTGAGCAGAGCCAAATGCTGGGCTCAATCCCAGGACCCTGAGACCATGACCTGAGCCGAAGGCAGAGGCTTAACCCACTGAGCCACCCAGGCACCCCACAGTGTTACGATTCTTAAAAAAAAAACCCAAACAAAACACCTGATTTTAGGGGCGCCTGGGTGGCTCAGTGGGTTAAGCCTCTGCCCTTGGCTCAGGTCTTGATCTCAGGGTCCTGGGATCGAGCCCACGTCAGGCTCTCTGCTCAGCGGGGAGCCCACTTCACCCTCTCTCTCTGCTTGCCTTTCTACCTACTTGTGATCTCTGTCAAATAAATAAATAAATAAAATCTTTGGGGGAAAAAACTGACTTTAAAGTACATCTGACTTTACATTGGACAGGATGTTTAGAAGTATATTAGATTGTCAAATATTTCGGAGGAAGATCACATTAATAGCTGCTCAGTAAACATTTAAATGTAAGAACTAAATGTGCAAGCCCCTAAAGGTAAAGCAAACAGTAAAAATCTTGGGCAATCCTATTACATTTGGGTAATCTAGGAACACTGCTAATAAACTAAGTTAATAAGTAATACAAGGAAAAGGAAAAAGCAAAAATCAACATACTTTATTAGTACATTATTTTTAAAATCATCACCCAGAAAATAATATAATAAGCATTTTTACAATTATCTATTTACAGGGATTGTCTGGACCCATTAAGCCCAAACACAGATTGTCTTGACATGTTTCTGCCACAGCACTACAAAATGCCTCACTTCACAGTGCCATTTCAGGTTGGCACCAGGCAATAATGAGAAATTATAGGAGTATTTTGTAAATCTCTTTTGAACCAGAAAGCAGATTCTCTGTAGAGAAATATTAAAGGCACATGAATTGGAGTTTAAATAATCTACAAATCATCTGTCACTCCTTGACATTTTATAGATCACACCAGGCACCTATGACCCTTTAGACTTTTAGGATACCCCAAACAAAGGGACACAGGTATACACTACACTACATAAGCTTTTCTTAATAAATGCATATGGTTAAATTATAAAAGAAAGTACTCTTGTGAGCCAATCCAAATATTTTGGATATGAGTGCCCCCTGAGTCTTTAATGGTTACCAACAAAGATTTTCTATCTAAATAAGCTGCTGAAGCCTGTAATAATACACTGAAGGACTTTAAGAAAGAAAAGGGGGGAATCAGGGGTGCCTCGCTGGCTCTTGATCTCAGGGTTGTGGCTTCAAGCCCTATGCTGGGTGTAGAGATTGTTTAAAAATCTTAAAAAAAAAAAAAAAGGAAAAGGGGAAATCAGGAATATACAAATCAAATCCTGGAATCACTAGATTAACCTAAATGTATGTAAGACTTAATATATATGGCTCCAAGCAACTGGTAGAAATAACTAGAAGTGATGATCATGTACACAAAAGAATGTTCCTCTCAGAAATAGAGAACAATTCTTTAGAATGTTTCTCAGGAGGAAAAAAATGAAAAGTTTTGAAAAGCAGTTTTGGATCAGAGGACTTTCAACTTAAGACTTTTGTCAATGTCTATAAAAAGCTTCATAGGTCCCTACAATTCCACCTTCTCCCAACCAGACAGTAGGTTTTGTACTAAGTTCATACTTAGGATTGCCCAAGTACAAGTAAGCTTCACAAAGCTTGATAGTCTAATAAAATTCCCTCTTCCCCAAACCAAGCAGATAATTTTTGATAACTATTTAGAAAATAGGAAAGAAATTTAATAGGTACCTATCTCTCACTGGGCTCTGTCACTCATTATATCATCCAATTGCACTAAAGGACTTTCATGAAGAACGTCCTAGTAATTTCCTCACTTGCATTTTCAGCACTAAGACAACATAAGTGAGCAAAAGCTTTTTTAATCCTGTTATCAACAGGCAAAAACTTGTCTGTCTATATAAACATCTATAGAGATAGCTAGATATTTCCTACATGTCCCTCCCAGTGTATCTGCTGCCAATAAAAAGATTGGTATCAAATAAAACTAGGGAGTTGTGTCACTGGCTTTTCTCTGTAGGTTCAACTGTGGTCATGGAAAATTGTGCCATAGACTGAATGTACAGACATCTTCAAACTGTCTCACTGATATTCTTACATCACACATGGGTCATGTTACAGTGTGGCTTACACTGGAGAAGCAGCTAATGGGGCTGCCAAGAAGCTTCTAGCAAATCATTTTTACAAATCGGACTCTACCCCTAAGAGAATTCTAGAGCATAAACAGCATTCCTATTGGTAAGCATGGCAAATTTGAGTGAGTTCTTTATTAATTTAGGATAATATTCCATATCTCTCCTTACTCAAATTCTTAGAAAAAATCATTCTTTAGTCATTTATCTACCATATACATGGAAAACTCAATAGAATCAGAGGGTCCTATCACCAAATATATGTGTGATTTACAAAAGGTCAAATCCTATATTTTCAAAATGTTTCTTGTGCTCCCTTATACTTTATATTTCACAGTACAGCAACACCTCCTTCACAACGACTGGTGATCATGTTACCAATTTCTGTCCATGTATCTGAATGAGGGTTATAAACTTCGACAGAGTCCAAGGTACCTGGGGCCAAGAAATCATGGCTCGAAGATCGACCTCCAGAAACATATAGAAGCCCATTGACTGCCACAACACACATGCCTGCTCTAGGCACTTTCATTGAAGCAACTTCAACCCACTTTTCCTGGTTAAGAGGGGAAAAAAAAAAAGTTAGCAGAATCATAAGATGACAATAGAGAAAACTGCTGAGAAATCAAATACTCTAGTTCTTTTTAAATATTTAAATTACAAACTCAAGAGTCCAGTCATATAAATATATGTAGGACATTGTCAAATGAGCTTTTTTATTTTAAGGATTTTATTTATTTATTTGACAGAGCACAAGCAGGCAGAGCAGCAGGCAGAGAGTGGGAGGAAGCAGGCTCCCCGCTGAGCAGAGAGCCCGATGTGGGGCTCGATCCCAGGACCCTGAAATCGTGACCTGAGCCAAAGGCAGAGGCTTAACCCACTGAGCCACCCAAGCGCCCCTCACATGTAGAACTTAAAAAAACAAAACAAACAAGAAAATGAATAAAAAGATAGAGACAAACCAGGAAATAGACTCTTAACTATAGAGAACAAACTGATGGTTACTAAAGGGGAGGTGGCGGGGAGGATGGGTGAACCAGGAGATGGGGATTAAAGAGTACATTTATTATGAAGAGTACTGTGTAAAGTATAGAATTGGTGAATCACTATATTGTACATCTGAAACTAATATAACACTGTATGTTAATAACACTGGAATTAAAATAAAAAAATAAGGGATGCCTGGGTGGCTCAGTGGGTCTCTCTGCTCAGTGAGGAGCCTGCTTCATCCCTCTCTCTGCCTGCCTCTATGCCTACTTGTGATCTCTCTGTGTCTCTGTCAAGTGAATAAATAAAATCTTTAAAATTTTTTTTTATTTTAAAACTTAATAAAAATAAAAATGAATTGAAAAATAACAAAACAAGAATGTGCCAAAAAGATTGTATGTAGCCTGCAGACCTAAAATACTCTTTTTTTTAAAAAAAGCATTTTATTTATTTGAGAGAAAGAGGGTGAATGGGAGGAGTAGCAGAGGGGGAGAGAGAAGGAGGGGTAAGAATCTTAAGCAGACTTGGTACTGAGCATGGAGCCCACTGTGGGCTCTGCACCCTGAGATCATGACTTGAGCTGAAACCAAGAGTCAGATGCTCAATTGGCTGAGTCACCCACGTGCCCCTCTCTGTCTAATAAAAAGTTTGCTAACTCCTGGTATACACTGTTCCCTGAAGAAATTTCAATAACCTGCTACAACCAAAATTATTCATAATGACCTTCTCCAGAGAAAATGTCTATGCCCAGAAAACAGGAAAGCTAATAAAGGTCCCAAAAAATAATCAAGAGAAAAAAGAGCAAGTTTATCTGGAAATAAAGTATATGATGAACAAAGTTTACAGAAACAAAGGGTGAATACCAACTATTCATCAATGCTAGAAAGTGAATTTTTGAGGACAGGAAACTTAAAAAGCTTCACATCCCAGGACTCAGCCTAGCACTAGCACATTATAGACACTCAATGTAGGTCTGCTGATCTGAATTTAATGATTGACTGCCATTTTATTTTAGATTTATTTATTTATTTTAGAAAGAGGGAGAGCACATGGGGGAGGGAGCCGAAGGAGAGGGAGGGAGAATCTCAAGCAGACTCCCACTGAGTGGGAAGCCTAGCAAGCTTGATCCCATGACCCCGGGATCATGACCTAAGCCAAAAGCAGACACTTAACCGACTGAGCCACCCAGGTGCCCTTGTTTGCTGATCTGAATTTAAATTAAATTCTGAGATACCAAAACCAGAGACAATCCTTTGAAATTGAAGGACCTCTACTAAAAATTGAAGGCTATTAGACTATCTGAAATTACAGAATTACGACAAAGTTGGCATTGTTGAAAAAATTAATGTTTTATTTATTTACCTAGAAAGAAAGAGAGAGAGAGAGTGTACACATGAGCAGGGGGATGGGCAGAGAGAGAGAGAGAATCCCAAGCAGGCTCTACGCCCAGCATGGTGCCCAACGCAGGGTTAGATCTCATGACTCTAAGATCATGACCTGAGCTGAAATCAAGAGTCAGACACTTATCTGAGCCACTCAGGTGCTCCCAAAATACTCATATTTTAAAACACAAAGATAGGGGCGCCTGGGTGGCTCAGTGGGTTAAGCCTCTGCCTTCAGCTCAGGTCATGATATCAGGGTCCTGGGATTGAGCTCCGCATCAGGCTCTCTGCTCAGCAGGAGCCTGCTTCCCCACCCTCTCTATCTGCCTCTCTGCCTACTTGTTATCTCTGTCTGTCAAATAAATAAAAATCTTTAAAAAACAAAACAAAAGAAAAAAACCCATAGATATTCACAAAAATATCTATAGCTGATTTAATCTTTAAAAAAAGAAGAAGGGCGCCTGAGTAGCACAGTTGGTTAAGCAACTGCCTTCGGCTTGGGTCATGATCTTGGAGTTCGGGGATCGAGTCCCACATGGGGCTCCCTGCTCAGCAGGGAGTCTGTTTCTCCCTCTGACCACTCCCCTCTCATGCATTCTCTCTCTCTCAAATAAATAAATTTTAAAGAAAAATAAATAAATAAATAAAAATAAAAAAACAAAAAAATAAAAAAAGAAGGAAGATGTGGTATCTATATACAAAAGAATAATACTTAGCCATCAAAAAAATGAAATCTTGCCATTTTCAACAATGTGGATAGAACTAGAAGGTGTTATGCTAAGTGAAATAAATAAATCAGAGAAATTCAATTATCATATGATCTCACTGACATGTGGAATTTAGGTTTAACCCACTGAGCCACCCAGGCACCCCGACATGCGGAATTTAGGAAACAAAACAGAGGATCATAGGGGAAGAGAGGAAAAAATAAAACAAGACCAAATTAAAGAGGGAGACAAACCATAAGAGACTCTTAAGCATAGGAAACAAACTGAGGGGCGCCTGGGTGGCTTAGTTGGTTGAGTATCTGCCTTCAGCTCGGGTCATGGTCTCAGAGTCCCAGGTTTGAGTCCCACATGGGGCTCCCTGCTGGGTGGGGAGTCTGCTTCTCCTTCTGCCTCTCACCCCACTCTTGTGCTCTCTCTCTCATTCTGTCTCTCTCAAATAAAAATTTAAAAATCTTAAAAAAAAAAAAAAGGAAACAGAGGGTTGCTGGAGGGGGGAAGGGAGAGGGGTAACTGGGTGATGGACATTAAGGAGCACATGTGATATGATGAGCACTGGGTATTATGTTAGACTGATGAATCACTGAGCTCTATCTCTGAAACCAATAATTATTGTATATTAATTGAATTTAAATAAAAAATAAATTTGGGGCGCTTGGGTGGCTCAGTGGGTTGAGCCTCTGCCTTCAGCTCAGGTCATGATCTTGGGGTCCTGGGATCCAGCCCCACATCGGGCTCTCTGCTTGGCGGGAAGCCGGCTTCCCCCTCTTTCTCTGCCTGCTGCTCTGCCTGCTTGTGATCTTTCTCTCTGTCAAATAAATAAATAAAATCTTTAAAAAAAATAAGTAAATTCTAAAATTTTTTAAAAATCCATATAAAACTTTTGACTCCCCCAAAACTTGACTACTAATAGCTTACTGGGTTTGTTTTGTTTTGTTTCTTTGTTTTAGAGAGGGGAATAAAGGGAGAGAAGGGGAAAGGGAGAGAAAGAATCTTAAGTAGGCTCCACATGCAGCATGGAGCCTGATGCGGGGGCTCAATCTCACAACCCGGAGATCATGACCTGAACCAAAATCAAGAGTTGGATGCGTACATGAATGAGCCACCCAGGTACCCCATTAATACCCTACTGTTGACCAAAATCCTTACCAATAACACAACGAACACATATTTTGTGTATGTATTATGTACTAAATCCTTACAATAAAGTAAGCTAGAGAAAAGAAAATGTTATAAAGAAAATCAGAATAGAGCTACCCTATGACCCTTCAATTGTACTACTGGGTATTTACCCCAAAGATACAGATGTAGTGAAAAGAAGGGCATATGTACTCCAATGTTCATAGCAGCAATGGCCACAATCACCAAACTGTGGAAAGAGCCAAGATGCCTTTCAACAGACGAATGGCTCAAGAAGATATGGTGTGTGACACACACACACACACACACACACACACACACACACACAATGGAGTATTACATAGCCATCAAAAAGGATGAATACCCAACTTTTGTATCAACATGGACGGGACTGGAGGAGATTATGCTGAATGAAATATGTCAAGCAGAGAAAGTCAATTATCATATGGTTTCACTTACTTGTGGAACGTAAGGAATAACAGAGGACATTAGGAGAAGGAAAGGAAAAGTGAATTGGGGTAAATTGGGGGCGGGGAGAGACAAAGCATGAGAGACTGTGGACTCAGAAACAAACTGAGAGTTTTGGAGGGGAGGGAGGTGGGGGGATGGGTGAGCCTGGTGGTGGATATTAAGGAGGGCCTGTATTGCATGGAGCACTGGGTGTGGTGCATAAACAATGAATCTTAGAACACTGAAAAAATAAAATAAAATGTAATAAAAGAAAAGAAAAAATTGGAAGAAAAGATACATTTACAGTACTATATTGTATTTATTGAAAAAAATCCATGTATAAGTGGACCCACACAGCTCAAAACCATGTTGTTCAAGGGTAGACTATAGGGAGAATAATAAGAGCCAAGTAGTTTTTAACTAACAGAGAAGGTATTTACAGACATGGAAATGGGGAAGGCCTGAAAGAATCTGAGCTATTGCACTGGAACTGGAGTTATCATCATAAACTCACGGTTTTACAACATATGACTTACATGTTACAGAAATACTTATAATTAAATATGTGAGTGAATACATGATGTATATAGGTACATGTATTCCTAGCTCTGTTTACTGCGAGTGCCTAGAAGCAGCAATGTCCCAGTAGCCATGAGTAGTCTGAGTGCCTAGACCTTGGTTTCTAAATACTATCCTTCACTAAGAGGAACTGGAGCTTCTTAGAAGAATGGCTGATTCCAGAGCTAAAGCAGAGAAAGTACAAAATGAGCTTGAAATATTTTATTATGCTAGAAAGTAAAGGCATGCTCAATGAATGATGGGAGCACTGCAAAATGACATAGGAAGGATTTCCACGTACAGCCACAATAGAA